ACAATGTGAAAAAAGAGTGTTTTCCTAATGAGCCACTTTACTGTTGTGATTTAACCCCCATGTAATAGAATCTTATGATTATGAAGACAGGCAAATCTTTTGCTGGATCAGTGAAATAGCTGAAGTATTATTTTTTTTTGCCAGTCACCTGGGAATTACAATTTGCTGTTTAAAGTAAGCTAGCTACATAGAACTTTCTCACTCTCTTCAATTTCTTTCAGTTTTCTTCTCATTATGCTGTTAGTTATTTATCCTGGAAAAGGAGTAATGATATGCCTTGTATTTGCTGCCTTTTTTTTTTTTAATTTTTTTAAACAGACTAAGATGCTGATGGGTGAGGTGATGAGAGAAGCTGCCTTTTCACTTGCTGAGGCAAAGTTTACAGCAGGAGACTTCAGGTGAGGATTGCTGAGCTTGTAGATGTCATACCCATGGGAAAGAGCGATTGAGAAATTATTATTTTCTCTTTTGGAAAAAGTAAAGTTCTTAAATGCACTTTAAAAAGAAAAAAAAGACAGTGGACAAGGTAGGACAGGATGAACTGAATTCCCTTAGCTAAAGGTGGGAGACATCACTGCAGGAGAGAGATAAGTTGCATGATGAAAACATAGACTGCATTGGAAGCTAAACAAAGTGGAAAGACTAGCTGAATTTACCTAAAAGTCTTTGATTTGAGAAGGTGTTGAATTCTGCAGCTTGGAATCAAATATGCAGGGAAGTGAGAATTTATAGCAGAGTATTGTGGTATTTGTTAATTTGGTTTTGCTTGTGAATTTGAGGGACAGGTGTAATGTATGTTCTCCCAGAAAGTCACACAGTGATTTTACCAGTTGTTCTAATCTCCTGTCTCATTGACCTCTTGTCTCACTAGGGTTCATGAGGGCTGTATGCCAGAGGGGAAACAAATCTTTTTCCTCTAGTAGGATATTTTTAATTGTATTTAAATAAATTACAGTTCTGTCCAGGGTGTTTTTGTAATTCATTCAAGGGTGCATAGACCTTGTGAAATAAAGTTGGAGAAGTGTTAATGATTCAGCTGATGGTACTACCAACTGATGGAGAACTGAGTGATCAGACACAGGAGTAATCTGTGTGCTGCTGAAGAAAAGTCTTTTTGGCCTTTCATTTGGATGTGGTGCTGTTCTGTTTCCTGTCCTAACTAGTCACAGTGTTTAGCTGTAAACAGTAGTCAGATTCCACCCTGTAAAGTAAACTGGACTTAGGCAGAAGAGTTAACCAGTGACGTATTCTTGGAAGACCTTGAGATACTTCAGAATTTTTCAAGATGAATTGTTTTACAAGCTCAAGTTTATTTATGTCCTAATCAGTGGGTAAACATACTCACTGATGTTCTGAAAGAACAAATACGTACAAACTAAAATGAACAGAGTGTTGTGGCCTTGGTCTGCATTAAAGCCTTGAGATTTCTTGACTTTTATTGGGAAAAAGGTCTCACGGGTTGATTAGACGCGATATTATTAAAATAATTTGCCAGATAACTGGCTAGTTTTAGCTATGCTTTATATACTTGGTCTAAGATATTTTTAAAGTTACATTCACAGACTCGGTGTCTTTTACATTTCCAGACATTGCTGGAAACCTATTTCTTTCAAAGCTTCTGTGTTAGCTTCAAAGTCTGTACAATGAATTGCATAGAGAACTGAGCTGACAACAATTTCCAGGTCTTTACAGCTATTTGGTAACTGCTTCATCTTGTATATGATGACTTAATGAACTACTTCAGCTTTCCTGTATGTTTTCTTCCTTACAGTACCACTGTGATCCAAAATGTGAACAAAGCACAAGTCAAGATCAGAGCTAAGAAAGACAATGTAGCAGGTGACTTTTCCAGGCCATGAGTGTTTTGACTCAAGGGAATTGTGGAAGGACACTTGGAAGTATGCAGGAATGTATCTAAAGGCTGTCTCCTCGTCTTTATTTCTCTTATTTATCTAACAGTAGGAACACTTGTAATTGGTTAGGGGTTTTTTCACATATATTGTATGATTTTTATAATTAGTTATTTGCCTCATAAAATTAAATGAGTGTGTGTAAATGAATGTGTCCAATTTCTAGATCTTTGGACAAAGTATAAGTTCCATAGAGCTTTACTGAAAAATAGATTGGGAAATTAAGTACCAAAATTAAATAAATTTCAGGCAATTAAATATCAGCAATTGTCTATGAAGAAAACAAAAAAGATGACTGAATGCTTAAAATATTCCTTAAGTAAAGGGAATACATTACCAAACAGAAAGATAGTAAAACTGAACAAACTGGAATACTTCCCTGAATTTTTCAGGGTCTAGATCTCTGTGATCTCAACACAATTCAGAAGTTCTGTGTTATATGTGAGCACCAGCATGACCCAATCGTTCCAAGCTATATAGGAAGATTTTGAAAAATAATCTTACATAATTGGAAGCAAATGGGTGTAAAAGTGATTTGTACTTAACAAATCTGTAGCCCTTTACGTCTCTTACATTTTTGTTCACTCCTGTCAGGTGTAACCTTGCCAGTTTTTGAGCATTACCAGGAAGGAGGGGACAGTAAGTACAAACCAAGTGGTTTTTTGTCTTGCACATATTTACACAATTCCACGCTAATACAAAAATACTTGTCATGTCTTGATGGTAGTAAGTCAGTTTACATCATAGGCATGGCTTTACTTCCTTCCTTTGCTGCTTTGCCCTGTTCCTGTGACGTTGAAGGATTATGAAGGACTGCAGTGGATTTTACTTTTCTAAATCAGTGACTTTTTCAGATGAGAAGACTTGTCTTTAGGTACCAGATTTTGAGACTGCTAAGTCTTACTGTGGACATGCACAACAATGATCTGTAGTAACATAAACCACTATAGAGATAATCTGTTAATGGGCAAAGGCTTTAGCTTCTCACTTGCTGAGCTGTTTGTATCGCTGTAAAGTATTAAATTTTATCTAGTAAAAAAATACTATAGTAGCAATAGTAACAAAAGTTATTTTTTTTCAGGCTATGAGCTGACTGGCTTGGCCAGAGGTGGAGAACAGTTAGCTAAGCTGAAGAGGAACTATGCCAAAGCTGTGGAGCTGCTTGTGGAACTGGCCTCCTTACAGGTTGGTGGGAAGAAAAAAAAGAAGGGCATCATTGATTTCTCACTTTTCTGAAAAGAAAGTAACATGTCTCAGTAATTGTAGCATACTCTAGTCTCGGTGCTGTACAAAGTTGCAAACCTTTTTCAGCCATAAAACAATTACCACTTCAAAGAAGGCCTTATTCCTTAATACTAGGAAGAAACTTTCTTTGGAGAGTGGGTAACTGCTGATGTGAAGTGTGCTAGTGACATTAGTAGAAAAAAATTCTGCTTCTCTCAAGGACATAGTCTGTAAAGCTACATTACAGACTTGGCTTTCAAGTGCTATTCAGTTTTCCGTGAACAATTGATTGAAATGCTGAATTTGTCTTGTTATGTATTAATTATTTAATCCTATTCCATCAGACATCCTTTATTACTTTGGATGAAGCCATTAAAATAACAAACAGACGTGTGAATGCAATTGAACATGGTGAGTATTTTCCATTTGGGATGCATAACATTTTTATGTCTCCATGCAAAATGAGGATCAGGGTCATGGAAGCCACTCATTTGACCTCTTGCTTATTAGCAGAATTTCTAAGCAGTTCAAGAACTCTTTCTAGAAAGCATTACAATGAAACATATTGCAAGAAAGAAAAAAATGAAAAGCCCAGTAGAATGGAGTACACATAGATAAATGAATATGCAAACATAAAAAAGTAATCAGGAAACTGTATTGAGAACCTAAAGGACAAAAGTTTCACAAACACATTCTGGAATCTCTGCTAATGACTTTGATTTAATTGGTCAGGTCTGTTGACTAGAAGCAAAAGATATGTTTCTAAATGCTAAGATGTTCCAATAGCTAGCATAATAAAATTTAAATAATTTCATAATAGATTTAACTTTAAATCACTTTAATAAACTTTAAAATTGTAATACTGTTGCCCAGTGAGGAGCTGTTGACTTTTTTTTGATTTTGGATGGAACAGTCCTTATGTCAATACCCTGGTATTTTTCTTTGATGTGAATTCTTTATCCTTCCTGTTCTTGTTTGTAAATTTAATTCTTGCCCTTTCTTAAGTATTACTTCAACCAGAATATTGCTGTGATTCCTTTTGCTGCAGTGTTTGATTATTTCAAGTTCCCTTCTGAGTTTTTGATAGCTTAGATTTAATCATCTTTGCGTGTACGCAATAACTTATTTCAGTCTGTGTTTCTAAACCGTCCTTTTCAGTACTGTTTTCCATAGACTGGTTCCTTTGAACATGCAGGCCTTAACTGCAGCTTATCATCACTCTTGAGAATTTGACTTGGAAAAGGTTTCCTCTGCAGCCTTCCAAATAACACTGGTAGTGCTGATAACAGCTTTCTCCTTTCAAAAAGGGACTGACACATAGCTTATCCAGTTGGGTGTTAAAGCTGTGTTTAGTGTCTTATCTCTTCCCTTGTGATACTGTTATATTTGAATATTTGTTTTCATGATGGCCTTTTTAAACCTAGATAATTCTGTGAGTAAAAGTGCTATACTGAACAGAAGTTTCTGAAAGAATGTGATGAAAGAACATAGTTTTAATTCAAATTTAGCCCACCTCTTGCAGGGTTTTTTTTAACCACTTCCATGGGAAAAACGAACCTTACTAACAATCAGGGATCAGTGCTTACTGATTCCATTGCATTTTTAAAAGAACACGCTGTGGGAGATTTTATGATGTTCAGTCCTAGCTTAGTCCTGGACTTACTAAAGAAAACAATTCTGTGTACTTGTCCATCAGAAAATAGTATGATCTTCCACAAAAGACATAAATTTCCCCTTGTCAAAATAATTAGTAGATTGACTTCAAACAACATCTGTGCACTCCGTTATATAACTTCCTGGCTAATATAACAGCAGTCCAAAAACTTATTTATTCATGTTTCTAGTGATTATTCCCAGGATCGAGCGTACTCTTTCTTACATCATCACAGAACTGGATGAACGAGAACGAGAGGAGTTCTACAGGTAAACATCTGGACTAGACTGGTCTCTTTCTGAAATACACCATTCCTCAGAAGGGACTTAGGAGAGCTATTCACCAAATCTGGCAACAAACATTGTTAAACAGGACCTCATTCTTACTGCATGTTGAGTTTCCAGAGCTGGGCACTTGGGCATCTGCAATTATTTGTCTGAAACTTGTAAATGAATCCCTACCACTAAGTTGCACACAGCTGTCATCATTCTGCCAGAGGGAATGATGTGATACAGTACACTGAGGTGTTCTGCCTTCAAGACACTTCTGCTATAGAGGTCAGTGTTCTGGGCTACCTGAAGCAAATAATGTCAAACCTGAAATGAACGAAAGAGGAATTAACTTCATTAAAGACAAACAAAGCAGTGTTTAGAGTCAAAAATATAATTTATAGTTTGGATGAAGTTTCTCAATTACAGCAGCTAGCAATAAAAGCCTTTTATTTTTGCCATTTTGCCAAATTTGCCATTTGTTACAGACTTTTTATTTCCCAGAGAACTTTTCCAGGCAGCTTTATCATATCCAGGTTGTATGGCATCTTTATTGCCAGCCTGTTTTATGAAAATGTATTTGTTTCACAGATAAGCCGCATTTCTCTTCACAGGCTAAAGAAGATCCAGGAAAAGAAAAAAGTATTGAAAGAAAAATCTGATCAAGAACGGGAGCTGCGGAGGGCTGCTGGTGGGGAAACTGAACCAGCCAATCTCTTAGCAGAGGAGAAGGATGAAGACCTTCTCTTTGAATAACCCTGCACAGTTGCTGTGTATGGAGCAGGGGGCCCAGAATACAGAATGTCCAATTACAATATAATTCAAGACATGTTGCCTACAAGATACTTATGTGGCTTCTCATTTGGTGTCCAAGTCTTGAGTTGAATGGATTGTGGATTTCTCCTGGGAGATTAGAAATCTGGGAACTTGACTATAGCATAGGAAGAAAAGGAGAAATGTGTCAGATGCTTTACTATCATCCAGGCAAGCCTTCTGTGGTCAGCCTGTTTCTTCACTTAGTAACAATGACTTTTGATAGCTATATATTTTGCAGGATGGTGCTGGATTTGCCTAATCAGATTCCTCTTAAATTGCTCCCCTTCCTCATACAAGAGGAGGAAAATGTCGCTTAGGGTGGGAGATGCATGTAATATTCTTTACTGCTGAGCTATTAATGTTCAAGTTGCTTAAAGCCAGTATTGGCACAGCTGAAGTCAAATGCCAGTAAAGGAAACTCAGTTTTCTAACCTGTTGATGAAATCCACAGTCTTCTGTTATATATTTTTGTTGCACGATTGCTACCATTGGCCTAAAACATCTACGTTTTTAATTAGAGGTTCTGCCAACTAGTGTACTGTCTGTGCTAGAAACAAGTGTAAATTTTAAATGTTAAAATACCCGGCGTCTGGCTCAAGTTGCTAGAAGATGGTGGTCTTAAAAGCTTGTTGTGTTGATTTCAAAATAAAACTTCTGCTCAGTTTGAAGGGGTGTTTTCCTAAACACAGAATCACAGAATCATTTAGGTTGAAAAAGACCTCTAAAATCACTGAGTCCAACCTTTGACTGATCACCACCCTTGCCAGCTAGTCCATAGCACTAAAGGCCATGTCCAGTTATTTCTTGAACACAAATGGTTGTGTTCTTTGTTCTTGAAGACATTGGTTTGCAATCAGCAAACCAAACGCCCCAGAGCTAACACTAGTATATTGTCTCTAGTACTACCAGTCTGTTCAAGGTAAGCATCTTGTTTTAAATATGATCCAGCACTTAACTGCAGATGCAAGGTAAGTGCAAGGAAATGAATTTCTACTAACACCTTTAAAAGTCATTGTAGAACTGTATGAAGCACAAGGCCTCTTCTTTTTTGAAGCTGAACACAGCACAGCTGAACAGTAAGTCCATACTCTGTTGTAAGATACAGATTAGTTTGAAAGAAAGACATGTTGGACATGTTGTTACCTCTCCCATGAGATGGATGGTGTCACAAGGAGCACAGGACATCCCTTAGGGCACTGATGGGTTTCACACTGATGGCATGATGGGTTTCACTGATGGCATGTTTCACACATTCAGCACAGTGGCAGAAAGAAGATCCGGTACGAGAAATAAAATTGTACAGTGATTTATTTTAAATCTAGAAATATTTTACATTTTTACATTAGTGTGCAGTTCATGATGTCTCAAAATACAGAGTGCAGATACATGTATAAAAGTACAAGTGGGGCTAACCACAGGTCTCAGTAAAGTTACCTTAATTATTTAAGGCATGAAACCCCCTATCTAATATTTTGAAAAGTCACATTTAATTACATTCAAAAATTCTTTTATGCAATTCAGCTAACATTTATTTTTAATTAAATCTGGACTGGTAAAAATGCAGATATCCTCATTTCAGTCTGATACAGCTCACTACATAACCTGTGATAAAGTCAAAGAGTTTCACCAGTGAAGTCTGCATATTTTCTTTTACTCTCGAGGGAACTAGCACACATTCTTCATTAGAGACAATGATTTCTTACACAAGGTAGTTCCAGGTCCAAACTGACAGCAGACTGACAGCCAGGTACATTATTTCAGTGCTGCTCAAACCCCTCCTTTCAGCAGGATACATTGCTAACACCGGTTATAAACTATCATAGCACCTCTCTACCTGGACATCAGCAAGTACTGTGTGCCTTGGGAATTAAGAGTAAAGCTGAACTTCAAGCAATATGCTTTAAGTCTACATTCAAAAGCTCATTTGTAAAAAAACATTCTGTACAACATTTCAGAAAAACTGGGGAGACAAACATTGGTGAAATAATATTAATGGCATGATTTACTGAGACTGATGCTGCCTATGAACACTGAATACCTATGGGACTTCAGCAACCACCTTGAGCTGATTTGTGACTGCAAGAATTTAGACAGCACCTATGTAACTTGAGCTAGGTTACCCTTACTCAACACACATTTTACTGCTTCCCACCTTCTTGTCCACCTATGAAACAGTCAATACCCAGAAGCCTAATACATCTGGCAATCATCTTTCTTAATGGGTAGAATCAATAAAGTATATCCAATATACCTGAACATTGTAGTTCTCATAAACTATGGATGAAACTGAGAACATGCCTGCAATGTGAGGCAAAAAGCCATTATTTTGAATATCCATTATTATTTCTAACACTAACTTGAACTAAAGATATTCAAGTTTGCACCCCCTTTTCTTTCTGAAGGGTCATTACTAATCCCCACTAATTGCTTAATTGCCTTTCAGCCGTAAATACTAATTAAACTAGCAAATCAATTTGCTTTCTAACAAGACAGGAATGCACGCTATCCTTCCATTTTTTCAATACAAAGATGTACTGAATATTTGTTCAGTACCTAGGATAGTTATCTGACAATTTCTTTATATCTGCTCTACACTCTGAGCTCTCTAGCTACAGGTGTGAATTTGTTCCATTAACGTTTGAAGAAAGAATATATGCAAGACAGAATGGAAAACATTAACTACTTTTTCATCCTTCAACATTAGACAGGAGTGAACTACACACTGACATAACTCCAGTGTTTTACCTGTAGGAACAAGGAAACACTATGGCTAAAATGAAAAGATATTCACAGTTAAGGTTCTTTGTGCTACCCAAAACCAAAACAGCCAAGATACTACTATTCAGTTAGGGTCAGCAACAACAGCCCTACTGCAGACTTAGTAGTTAAACCTTCACAGCCAGAATAATTTGAGGATGCAGAGATGTTCCCATCTGCTTTGCAGAATGCACCAGGATACAGAGAGACCTTTCCTTTTAGTTCCCTTGTTTCAAGTTGGTTTTTTTGTTTGAACCATTAAAAATATTCCCCTTTTTTGTGACTTCTCAGTCAGTTACCAGTGTTTTACATATATTTTCACTGCAGTATTGAGCAAACGCAGGACAATAAGTTGGCTAGTGAATGACAATACTCATAACATAGTAGCTACATTCAGCTATTTGACTTCCAGTTAGTTGTCCATTAGTCCAACAGCCACAACATGAACCATTTGCAGAGATTAAAAAACCACACTGTCTTCCAGTGTTCAGCACATCAGTCTATTTTAGTCAGTATTCTGTTATAAAACATGAGAATTTCAGTTGACTTTCAAGTAGCATGTCTTATAACTATACCTTTTCACAAAAATAGAAGCTCCGTCTTTCTAAATATCTCTACAGATCTGTGGAAAACAGTGGCTCCAATCAGTCAATCAGTGTTTTAAAGAAAGTATCATAAAAATATCACATCTAAAAGATCAATATAACAGTCATCTTTGGACCTAAAATTACTGTGCAGTTAAATCTGATTTTAAAAGTCTGACTAAAAAGATGCAAGGATTGAAATATTTACATTATACACATTTTCCAATTACAGTGCTATTAGAAAGTGGAATGTCTGAGAATTAAAATATTAACTCAAGCCTCACAGGGCAGCCCCAGATCAGAGCAGCATCTTCATTCTGTGTATTTTTTGAACAGGAGAGGTTTCTCATTAATATTAACATTTTTCACATGTAGATTGTATCTCTGCCCAGTGATCTGTAGAATGCTCTTGAACTAGCATCATGTCCCACAAAGTCATTAAGTGTTAAATAATATTCATATTTATAACTATGTGACAGCATGGACTATATATATATACACATAAACACACTTAAAATCTTGGTTGTAAGGGTGACTAGGTTAAAAAAGGTGGATTTATGTATAAAAGTAGCTGCTAGAAAAATCTGTCTAAAGCCTTAGAATTTAGTATTGACACAGTCTCCATTTCTAGACCACAGAGAAAGAAAACTTGGACAATCTTTAGATCAGTTAAATTGGCTCACAAGCTGAGTAGCGTATTTTTCGTTAATACGCAATTTCACTGGCAAAGGATGCAGCCACTGAGGTCTAGAGCTCACAGCTCACATGCATTTATACTAGAATTGGGCAGGCCTACACACAATCTCCTTGGAAAGATAACTAGATTAAAGTCCACTTGTCCCTTGGAACTGCTCTCATCGTAGCCAGGTAGAGGGCACCCACTGGGGTTCTGTGTCAAGCTTGTTTATTAACCGAAGTAATTCTTGATAGGCCTTATCAAGGTCAGAATTCACAATTGCTGTATCAAAGTAGTGGCCATTGTTCTGTTCCATCTCCCTTGTCTTCTCTATGATTTCTCTCAGCTCTTCTGGCTGCAATCAAAAACAGAGTTAGTGTAGGTGTGCAAGCCTCTCACAGTAACGGAGTAGGGAAAGGTAACAACTCAGGTTGTTTTACACAAATTCTCATAGTGTTGCTATTGGCTATGGAAAAGTTTACAGTAATACTGAACCATGATACATATTTGAAAGCTAAGGACATTCAAGACAATCCTGTTTGATTTGCCCTAAGTGGCAAACTGTAAATAACTGCCCCCGGCTGAGGAAAATGAGGAAGATCCAGCACTGCTCATTGCACAACACTGCTCTTACTGAGGTTCTTAAATCATGTTTCTGAAAAATAAGTGAGGTTGCTAAGCTCATTATCCTTTCTGAAAAAGACTGGAGGTGGCAGAGATAGTGTGAGAGAAAGGCTGAATGGTGTAGAACAAGACAACATTCCTCTGAAGGTGCAGCACTACAAATGCCAAACAGCCGAAGGCGACAGCTGTCAGTGGTGAAAACTGCTCAACAAACAGCAATGAGAACCACAGGGAGAGTTATATGTTTAAGCTGACCAAATCACCATAACACCCAGTGAATAACATTGCAGAAAAATGAAAAACACCGTTTGGGAGCTGGAAGGGACTATGTCAAAAGCAAGAATATTGCAGATGTAGATAAATTATACAAAGGGAGAAGTAGAAATGTTTTGCTTCACTTCAGATTTTTTTTTTTTTTACAATTAGCTACTAGAGGTGTGTTTATTTTCCTCTTCTGCAACTTAGTTTTCTGTTGTATAAAGGGATATTCAGGTATAATTTTTGAGTTAATTTTCTAGAAAGGATAATTTCAAAAAGGACTTCAGGCCTTTAAGATTTTTTTTCTTAGTCATTATATACTCTTGATAAAATCAAAGTAACATACAGGCATACATGCAAGAAATACTCTTTTCTTTATTGGGGAGGGGGTTTAACATGAGAGCATGTACCCCCTTGAAATAAATACAACGCCAATACAATTAATCAGAAAGAAAACAGGCATTCTTTAACACCAAGAAATGTATTCCTTTTTATTGCAAATGGATTCCTTGACTACTGCAGTAAGAATCCAGAACCTACATAAGATGCAATGTTTATATAAAATAAAGTTTCATTAGTTGCATAAACATGAAGGAGGAAACACACCCATTTAAAGACTATGATTCCATTTGACTCAAGGGTGAGGGGGGGAAGGAAAAAAGAAAAATCCCTCTCTTTTAACACTTGGACTTTAATGGACTTCTAGGTCTTGCATCCAAGTAAGCAAAACAACACAGCCACAAAACACAGTGAGGTTTGATCCCTGACC